CTAATTTAAAAGTTATAGCATGAAAACTATAACAAGCACAAAATGGTTACGAGGTCGTCGCATTGACCGACCCCGTATTGAAAGAGTTCATGAACCGAGCTGTTCAAAGACTGATCATATTAATTAATGTTACGACTTAACATAATACATCGTTATTGTTTTGTAGAAAAAAGAAATCACTAAATTAACGTCTAGTTACTGAAATTATTACGCCAATAACTCTAAACTTTCATAAAACATCACAATCGTGTTTAACAGTGTTTAGTTTGGCTAGGTAGAAGGTCAGTTAAAACATATGAATCACTCCTTTCACCATTTGGACAGGTGGTTAGGACACTCCACTCGCAATCTGAGGATCGCAGGTTCGAATACCCGTCACTGAACATGCTCACCCTTTCAGCCGTGAGGGGGTGTTATAATGTGACGGTTAGTCGAACTATTCGTAGGTAAAAGAATACCCCAAGAGTTGACGGTGGAAGGTGTAGACTAGCTGCCTTCCCTTTAGTCTATCGCTGCTAAATTAGGGACGGCTAGAGTGCAGATAGCCCTCGTGTAGCTTTGGATGAAATGCAAAACAAATCAAACATTTCACCACTATTGTAGTTGTGTAGGCTTAAGCTTCCTTCACCTAGTAGCCGATTTAAACCCACGTTGTTCTTTCGAAGAGAAATCCAAAACAGATCCTACGAAATCTAGTGCTAATAAATCAGCCCAAGATCGAAGACCTTCCAAACCCCATTCTAAAAACCCACAGTGACCACCATAGTCTGTAGTGACCAATAACATTTGAGGGTAAACTTGAAATACATCATATGGTATAGCTTCATCTACCACCAAAGGGTCATCCCGGCTGATGATACATAACACCGGCGTAGAGATGTCATCAGCATCCCGCAAGGGAGCGTTTTTCTCCCAGTACTGTTCAGCATTTTCGCAACCGGCCATTTTCCAATAGATATGTTTCTCTAATTCTTCCAGTTTTCGACTACAAAGGGCCTGCTGGATGTCAACTGTCCTTCTCAGTCCTTCTCCGTGGGTAGCCACTAACCTCTTACCGGCTAGAAGGTTGAGAAGTTCGTATGGTTGCGGCATGAAACCTGTGTAAAGACGCTCAGGGTCAAAAAGAGGTGAGATGGCTACTCCAGTCGCCAGGTGCGCTGATGAACCAAACTCTCCTAGATAAGCCAAGAGGAGGTCAGCACCAGCACCGTACCCGATGGCCGTCACATGGCCGTGAGGTAGCTTGTTCCGAACATACTTTACCGCTTGGCGAAAATCAGAAGGATCCCCGTAGGACTGTAGTCGAGGAGTAGTCAGTGGACTACCGCCATGACCTCTTCGGTTGAAAACTACTGGTTGAAAACCTTGGCGAACAGCCTCTTGGCATGTATAAGCCAGATTACGGGCGTCTGTCATAAAATCCGGTAGGAGAATGATCACCGGCCGAGACTTTCTCATTATGAAGGTTGATGCTTCCCCCAAGGCCCAGTCTAAAGCTATTACTCCTCGATCCTTCATCTGAAGAAACTGACGTTCGAACCTAGTTTCACCCTGGTACATGACGTAAATCCTCACGAGTGTCTGAACGTCTGGGTGCTTAGCCCAGCATGGCGGCATGTAGGGATAGTTGAACCGGGGGACGTTCTTCAAAAGGAAGCGGGAGAACGTGGAGTCTTTGTAATGCACAGTCGGAGAAGCACCGCACGGTCTAATCATCTCTATGAAAGCCGAAAATAGCAAGATGGTTACCAAGGCAACCACTGTCCAGGCTGGGATGGGAACAAAGGAAAGCCAGTCAGACAGGTTCATCACACTGTAACTTGTGTCAGTATTTACAGGAAGTAGCTCCTCTGCTCATTATCCCGGCATCATTATTTGTAAAACTTAAGTGTTTTCGAGTTACCCATCCTAGTGTCTAAAGTTTCTGAATTTACTATACAAGTAAATATTTGTGGGTAGATGTCCAACCAGTCTGAAAAACAAAATAAAGTTGAATGAAACATGTGACATAAAATATTCAATATATTCAGCCACATCATTTTAAAAACTAGTTTTATATTTACACGGCTAAAAAATCAGCTGCAGGATACACGTAATTTATTTCATAACACTGAGCACGAGCATTGTTTTGTGCTTATGACGAAGCATCTAAAGATCATGAAACCACCAGAACATTACTGTAAATAGTCCGCATCTAACAAACTGCCCTCGTGCAAACTCAAGCATTGAGCATTGTATGTTGTTTACCTGAATAACGCCTCATGTACACAATGGTCTAAACCTCCAGGTCAGAGACCCCTATAGTTCAGGCAAAGCCCTACATAACTTTGAAGAGCAGACCAGTGTGTGGGGAAGCCAACTAGTCAGCAGCACACCTGTCACCCGAAACTCTTAACTGAATATTGTGGGACTGGCTGTCACTTTTATAAAGCACCTACAGCTGATAGTGCGAAGTGTATTTAGTAGCACCATGTTTTTAATTTAAAACCCTCGAATCCCCAACTCAGTACGCTATTATAACAATTAGGCGTGCATGCTTGGACCCTAAGTTCGAGTACACTTCAGCAAATTATACGTGTGTGTATAAGCAAAAGTATTTGAACAGTCAATCAAAGATCAACTGAGAACATGTGTCAGCTCCATTACTTAAATAAATATCTAACATTTCTTTAAATAGAAGGCAAAAAAGAGTCACTTATTTAAATAATTTTCCTGTAAACTGTTATATTCTGAGATCGATGGACAGCTCTTTACTTATATAAATAAATAATATTTTTGAAAAAGTTATGTCCAGGGAAAGCAAAACAACTCTGTACTTACATACAGAAAAAAAAAGAGTTATTTCTGTAAATAGTTACTTTCAGAGAATACAGAGCAGCCGCACAAGGAGAGTTTGTTGAATTTTGCGTAAAGCTACTCGAAGTCTATCTGCGCTAGACGTCTCTACTTTTGAAGAGATAAACTAGAGGGAAAGCAAGTAGCTAGTCAATTTCACCCATCAACAAATCTTGAATTTCTCTTTTACCAACAAAGATAGACATAGTGGGATTGACTGTAACATTATAACGCCCCCACAGTTGAAAAGATGAGCATGTTCGGTGATGGTTTTCGGTCCCACAACCAGCAGGTTACATGTCGAGAATCCTAACCAGGAGGTTATACCAGGCCTCAGAAAGAGAGATGTGACATTTCTATATTTTCATATGAACTGTATGAAAATTTTCAAAATCTAGTTCGGCATTTAAAAAAAATATGAGTGTTAACTGTTCTGGGCGTTACAAGCCGATTGACTCAGCTCAGAGTCTTTTTAAGCATTCCATACTTAATAACCGATGAAACGAGGGTTTAGACTAGCGAAATTAAATAAACACGCTAAATTATGTGTAGAACATCTATGTAAGCAAAATAACTGGTGCGACTTAAGCTAAGGTGTCAGTTTTATGTTGTTTTTATAAATTAATTATTTTCATACAATCTTGACTTTGTGTAAAACTTCTGAAAAGACAACCTTAATAAGACTGTGAGAACACGGGTTGTTTTCTGCGAGGTCACATGCTTCCATTCAACAGACCATAATCTTCAAAGTTGATGCGAAAGATAACTTTCCTGTTGTCATTCGTATAAATTGCGTTCAAAGGTCATAGTGTTCAGAGATAAATGCGACAGTGTACTACAGCAAAAATATAAGGATTTGTATAATAATATTAAATAATTTCATTTTTTTCTGAAGAATCACTTTTGTAGTGTTGAGATCGAAGTTGCATGAAATTGTAATATCATTTTTGTCAAATATAAACTTAAACTTATCAAGCATATTTGTTTGGGGAATGTTAGCGAAGAAGATTATGCTTTTGTGATTTTGTGTTGATCTATCGCAGTATGGATAAAGTAGAGCATTTATAGAGCGTGACTTTGCTAAAGCGGTTATAAAGGGTGACTTTGATAGAGCAGTTATAGAGCACGACTTTGGTAGAGTGTTTATAAAGCACGACTTTGGTGCAGCAGTTATAAAGCACACCTTTGGTGCAGCAGTTATAAAACACAACTTTGGTACAGCAGATACAGAGCATGACTTTGGTGGAGTGGTTATAGAGCACGACTTTGGTAGAGTGTTTATAAAGCACGACTTTGATACAGCAGTTATAAAGCACGACTTTGGTGCAGCAGTTATAAAGCACACCTTTGGTGCAGCAGTTATAAAGCACACCTTTGGTGCAGCAGTTATAAAGCACACCTTTGGTGCAGCAGTTATAAAGCACACCTTTGGTGCAGCAGTTATAAAGCACACCTTTGGTGCAGCAGTTATAAAGCACACCTTTGGTGCAGCAGTTATAAAGCACACCTTTGGTGCAGCAGTTATAAAGCACACCTTTGGTGCAGCAGTTATAAAGCACACCTTTGGTGCAGCAGTTATAAAACACAACTTTGGTACAGCAGATACAGAGCATGACTTTGGTGGAGTGGTTATAGAGCACGACTTTGGTAGAGTAGTTATAGAGCACGAATTTGGTATAGGGCTATACAGCATGACTTTGGTAGAGTAGTTATAGAGCACGAATTTGGTATAGGGCTATACAGCATGACTTTGGTAGAGTAGTTATAGAGCACGATTTTGCTACATTGGTTTTAGAGCGTAATTTTGCTAAAGCGTTTACACAGCATGACGTTACACCGTCATGTCCTTGCTAAGAATTCTGGAATACATGCACATTTCAAAAGTAGATTATAAATTACAACACTTGTATTGAAACACGATAACAGTTCATTTTCGCTGTATAATTTTTCCATAAGTTAGACACTTATTTCAAGGTGTCAAGCTTGGCCTTCAAATTAAAACCCTCGAGACGATCTATTTACGTGTGAGCGTGGAGGTATGTGCAGTGAATACTGAAATGTGTAATAAACTGGAATGCAGTGTAGCTGTAATACACATGTAAATATGAGTGTGTGTTTCTGTGTCCAGTAATGCAGATCAGTGCAAAACATTATAACCTCAGAGAACATTTCGATTTCACCATTTTGTCTGTTTAAAACTAGCCTAAAACTAATATATATTAACATTCTCTGACAAAAGCAAATATAACAACACTCCCTAATAAACAAGCTTACATAACAACAATCCTGAGAAACCAACTAATAAAACAATATTCCCTGATATAAAAGCTAACAGAGCACTCCCTGACAAACGAGCTAACAACACTCCTTGACAAACAAAGTAACATAACGACACTAATAAGTTAGCATAATAACATTCCCTGACAGACAAGTTAACATAACAACACTCTCTGAAAAACAAGGTAACATAACAACACTAACAAGTTAACATAATAACACTCCCTGACAGACAAGTTAACATAACAACACTCCCTGACGAAGAAGTTAAAATAACAACACTAACAAGTTAACATAACAACACTCCCTGACAAAGAATCTAAAATAACAACACTAACAAGTTAACATAACAACACTCCCTGACAAAGAAGCTAAAATAACAACACTAACAAGTTAACATAATAAAACTCCCTGACGGATAAGTTAACATAACAGCACTAACAAGTTAACATAATACAACTCCCTGATGGATAAGTTAACATAACAGCACTAACTAGATAACATAATAAAACTCCCTGATGGATAAGTTAACATAACAACACTCATTGACAGAAACTTAGAAGTTTATGGTAGTAAGTAAACTGCTGCTGAATTTTGTTGTTGTTATTGTTTTTAATTTTCATAACATAATTTTCAGTTTTATTCACTGACTTAAAGAAAGAAAAAATACCATATTTGACTATTTAATCTAAGTGTTTAATTACTTCTGTAATTATGTTTCACGTTAAATAAAAGCCCCAAAAGTGGCCTAGTGGGTAGCGTATCGGACTGGGAATCCGAGGGTCTCAGGTTCGAGATGTAGTGCTTTCAAACACAATTTCAGCTATGGGTGCATTATAAAAGTGACAGTCGCTCCCGCTATTCGGTTAACAGTTGCTCTGTAAGTGGCGGGTGTTCCTTACTGGTTGTCTTTCCTCTGACCGGCAGTTAAAAATTAGGAACCGCTATGCTTAAACCTAAGGATCTCTAATCTAGCTGTTTAGCCTATTGTGCCATATCGATCTACTTAAAAAATATATATTATTTATTTATGCACTAAATTGCTTGTGGGTCCGTGCTTTTGTTGGTTACAGGATCCCTAATGACATATGAGTCACACACACACAAAAACAAAATATCAATATTGCAATTAGTCCCATTAGTGAACGCTCAGGTTCCCTATGAATATAAGTGATTTTACCCAATTTTATATTAACGTTTTTAAACTTAGTGTACAACAGACAAAAATACAATGCTTGGAACCCATCAGTAGCAAAGAGTATGTAAAAGAATAGGTAATTTCAGGATCAACAAAGTAGCTGTAATTCAGATGTTAGTAGTCAATTCAGTCATTGGCATTTTTCTGTTGTTGTTGTTATCAGAGGGAATTATACATCTTAAAGTGACCCCTGGAAGGAAACTAATGAAACTAGAGACAACGTTTTTTAAACTTTTGCTATGAACAAGACTTGTTTAAAGCAATCTAGTTGGACAAGCCTTTGCTAGAACCAGTAATGGACAAGTTTCATTACGATGTTGCTCTGTAACTATAAATTATATTTGGTAGTTAAAAAATTAAGTCACTAGTTCTTTCAATTTTTCAACAGATGTTCTTAAAAGTTATACTCACCATTTTGACGAATGCATTTTTTCAGTTATGTTTTTCTTATACAACAGCGGTATCTTTTCTTTTCGTTGTTTTACGGACGAGAAAAAGTTAAGATAAAATGAAATCTACTTCTTAACTATTTTAAATCTTGCACAGTTTTAAATCACTGTGTTCGTAAACTAAATCTAGGAATAAAAAACACATAGTTCACTCTCACCCGAACCTGGAAATGCCACTTACGCTGACTCTCGTCGTCTGCTGCTACTGGTTTGTGGAATGAATATGGTTGCGAAGAGCGTCCTCTAGAGGACAATTTCTGAATTTAATCTCTGTTTATAACAAGCGCTTTTCTAATTATTTTACAGAAGTGACGAAAACAAGAATTTCAAGCTGTTATATGTCTGAAGAAAATTCGTGATCATAGCAGTATATTTTGTTTGTTTTCCTAGTAAAACTGTAACTTCAAAAATTCTACATTAAATGATTAAAACACTTACTTCCCTTCGCAAAGTGAGAATTAAGAGACATTAGAATACTTTATTTAAATTTTCTTTTAACCCCTCTTTGCTTGGTTCGACAATTTAAAAATTGTTCTACAGCATAAAATGGTATTTATAAATGAGAAAAGAGTAAAAATCACAATAAACTTGTTCAGTTTAATAACTTTACAACAGAATAATACCTGCGGTAAATTGTAATTTTGTGTTTCAAGGTGGTCCTTTTTTGTGCCTGCCTTAAAAACTGTAGCAAAACTCGCACACCTACGTAATGAAACAAGAAGGTAGTTGTAAATTACATGTATGTGTGTTTAGTAAAGTAGTATTATGCGCCTATAAATGTTAGTCTGTGTTTACTTTGCTTCATTTATCACAGGTGTTGTAATTATACTAGAAGAACCTTTATGAGAAACTAGAGGAGGATTGCCGATGTTTGACCAAAACCAGTGGATGTTATCGGAGTTTACTTTACTACTTTCACTCACTCTTGAAGATATGTTAACAGAGAAGTGAAACAGATAATTTTTTCGTAAGATATGTTAACAGAGAAGGAAATAGAATATTTTGCCTACCTATTCTACTTGATAAGACTAATAATGGATCCAATGAGTTTCTTGGGTTGTGTTCTAGCCTGATTAGATTTAGACTCCGGTAGTGGCGCGTTGCCCAAACTCGATAACCTCTGAGTAGATCCACTAAATAGCTTAGGTTGTGTTCTAACCTGATTAGAATTAGACTTCGGTAGTGGTGCGTTACCCAAGCTCGATAACCTTCGAGTAGATTCACTGAATATCTTAAGTTGTGTTCTAACCTGATTAGATTGAAACTTCTGTAGTGGCGCGTTGCCCAAACTCGATAACTTGTGAGTGGACCTACCAAGTAGCTTGGGTTGTGTTCCAGCCTGATTAGATATTTGGACTTCAGAAGCTTAAGTAAGAATTTTGATTTTATCTTTTATATTTACAATTATTTCCGTAGAAAGTAAATATTACAATCCTTATAGAAATCTGGGTAAAACATGAGGAGTTAAATTTGTTTAATATACAAGGTATAAAAATGCAATAAAGGTAGAGATTATAATAAATTTGGAGGTATAACAGTTTTTGGAAGTAATAAAATAAACGTATGAGACATAATTATAGTATAGTTTGATGTTTTAATTTCGTTTATTTCATTTCTATGTTGAATAGATATTAGTAATCCATTTTTCATCTGTGGTTATAGTTTTCCTATATTTACTGGTATTTTTACACATTTCATTCATTCAAACATTGTATTCTATATCATTGTAACACAATTTTCATAAGCGTCTTTTATGTTTAACTCTTCATAAATACTATTAAAACCAGCTTTTTTTTACACTGATAAAATGCAATATAAATAAATAAAAATATATATATAACTGTAAATTCAAAGTTTTTATAATCAATTAATGAATATGAAATTATGAAAATTATAAATAGAGACCCTTAGGGGCCTTTGTCTCTATGCTGATGAGGAATAACGTTGATAATGCTGGAGATAATGGGCTTTCCATTTCTAGACGTTTTCTTTATACATAGAAGTTTTTCAAACATAAAACAGTTTTTAATTCCCAATTCCAATAATTGTTTCATATCTGCTAAATTTGTTTTTATGTCTTTGTTCACATCGTTGTCTATTTTGTTTAATGCTATTGCAATGGCTTCATCCACCGATAATTGAGTATCATCAATACTGCTATATTTCCACTACTTTTCTAGTGGGTATATGTTGATGAGATGCTATGTGGCTTTAACGAAATATTGTTTAAATATGTTTTTCAAATCCATATTATTATATTATTATGGTAAGCAAGTAAAAGAAAAAATATTACAAGCATGGCTTTATCTTGAAATTAGTTTTCTTGAACTATTTCTAAAAACTGTTTCAAAAAGTACCTTAATATTTAAAGATTTTGTTATATGTAAACACCATGCCTTTTGTGGTTGGTTGTTTGTTTGTTGTTAAGCGCAAAGCTGTACAATATGATGTGCTCACAATGAGTATGGGAACCCGGTTTTTAGTGATGTGAATGGGATGTTGTGAGGTTTTGAATTGATAGTATACCCTTCTCCATCAAAAAGTTGCAAGGAACATGAGAACAAATTAATAATGAAAAATTCCTATTTCTCTCATCATCCATGAAATGTAACAATGGACTTGGAAACGTACGTTCCTCCGATACCATGCTATTTATAAATATAGATTAATCGTAGTTATTTGAAATGTAAAAGTTCGCATTTACTTTTGAAGTAGGTCAACTAATTAGTGGCACTTATTAATACATTCAAAGTATACACATTTTGAAAGACAAAGTTTTGTTTTTTAAGCGTAGTATTTCAGCTTATAAAATAATGTTATAGAGATCCAACTGTTTGAAAGTTGTTAGATTTCAATGTATTTTTTTTCTCTTATCGTAAAGAAAGGAATTTGAAACAATGTTGGTCACAATTATTACTATTTTTTTGTAATCATAGTTATTGTTATCCAACAGTGTTTTATTATTTTACTTCTGCTGTATAATGGAAGATAAACTGATCAAGATTTGACCTTGAGTTCAAGCCCTTACATAATACAGCTGGGTTTTTTTTCTCATGAACAAATTATCTGGAGAGGACTTGTTATCTTTTAATTCAGCTGGTTTATCCGTGTAAACAATGTATAAGGGCTCAAAGCCAAAGTGGACTGTGGTGCAACAGTTGAGTACTGAAAAACGCCTGAAGCTACTGCAGTGCTAAGGTTAAATAAAGATGAGTTTAAACATACGATACTAAGAGCACTCAAAGGAATTATTGATTAAGCAAAAAGAAAGCAACAAAAGATTTTAAAAAGAAGTGGGAATAGAATATAAAGAAAAAAATTATAATAGATAAGAAATAATTAGACAGAATAAAGAACATATAAATAAAAACGAGATAGAAAAAGGAAGAGATAAAGTGGTAGATAAAAGAATAAGTAGATAAGAAAGTGGGAAATATGGGAAAGGGAATGACAAGAGAGTAAGAGACAGAAGAAGGAATACATAAGAAACAGCGACTGCTCTTTAAAGTTCTTTAACATGTTTCTGAAAGAACATTAGTTGAAAAATAACGACTACCAAGTATTTTATATTCAAGTTTGTTCATGAACTTGTATGTTGAGCTTGTTTTTTTTTTTTTTTCGTTTTCAATGTTAAACTTGTACATATATCTACTTACCTATTTGCTATATAAGACTTAACATATCAAAATTTATCGGGCTTCTGTTTTCCTGCTTTTCGTTTACTGATTACTCCAATCAGACAGCAGAGAAAATTACACCGTATTCATAGCTTACGAATTTACAACTCTGAACAATAAAATCATAATTATAACTGCTGCTAAATAATTTGTTGGATTGTATAAAGCTTGTTGGACAAATACAGACGAAACGTGCTAAAGGCATAAAGGTAAAATTCGTGGCTTCAATAAAGTTGGACATCACTTTATCTGGAATTCACCATTTAGAGAGTAAAACTTTTGAAACTCTAAGTGGCTAACTTAAACCCTTTTACAATCTGACGTTTCCACTTAAGCAATTTAAATCTTCCAAACAAAATTCGTGAAAGATCAAACTTGTTAAATGTGGAAGGTTTATTCTGAATGTTGGTAAAATATTCTTCTATACGGAATTTCCCTTTTTTTAGCGAGTAAACTCAAGTCTATCAAACACAGAGAGCCTCGTGGTTAGCGTGCTGAGTGCTGACCTGAAAGTCCAAGGTTCGCGCCTGCTATATGTCGCTAAACACACTCCACACTTTCAGGTGTGGACGCTTTATAAAAGTGACAGCAGCTGTTGCTGACTAGTAGCCCTCCTTCTGACCAGTAGTTCTAAATTAAAGATGGTTATACCCAAACTTTGTGGTCTCTGACCTGGCCCTTTATCCATCAGGTCGCATAAGCCATAAGGTGTCATTTTGGTTGAAAATGCCAAATACATATCTGAATAAACTGCGAAAACATTAATTATGAGAGTATTCAAATTTAAATGGAAAGACACATTCTGAAAAAACAAACAAAAACTTATCATCATCAAGATTCTTTTATTAGAATTACCATAATAAATAATGTGAGAGACTGAAATCAAGTATTGAAGAAACTAAAAGAGTCAAATAGGTAGAAAATTCCGCGATAAAATAAACTTCTGTAGCCAATGAATAAATAAATATATGCTACAATAGAAGACTTCGTATAATAATGAGTATAAAATAATCAATATTTTATCAGAAATCATTAGAATGAAACATAAAATCAATCTGTTTTATAAGGTAGCAGTGGCTTGCAGTTCTCTTGTTAGTTACTTCAAACACCATGCCGGTTGATCAATAATGACTAATAATCCTGACAAACAATACACAAAGCCAGTGGCATAATGGTTATTGTGGTGAGTTGTGGATCCCAGGTGACGGTCAAATCCCTCTATTCAAATCCAGAGAGTTGGCGGTAGGTCCTGTTGAATAGCTGCCTTCTCTTTAGTCTATCAGTGCAGAAACACCGAAAGGAAGAATAAAAACATTAGTTTACTTTAGACGCTTTAAAATTTCATTTTTAAGATTTTCATGTTTAGTACCATCGTCTGTTTTACCAACACCAGGAGTTTGCTGTTCAAGGTTTCTGTTTCTTTTTTAAAAAAAGAAAGAAAATCTATTGTACTATATGCATGAACGT